TAGTTTTCTGAGATTAAAATTCTTGTCAGCACTGAAGCTGATGAGATTGTGCCAGAAAGTCCAATATGGTTATATTTTCTCTGTGTTTCATTTAAAAACTCTTGAAAGCTTCTGCTTGTTTGTTAGTTTATTTTCATTTAAAGCCAAAGGCTCCAAAACACAAGTGAGGATCAGTCCAGTGGAGTAATTTCACATCTCTAATATCCTTTTTGGCATTCTCCTGTCTCTTTGACTGGTGTTATAATTTCATGCCCCTTCCATTTTTTGCACCTGATATTCTACCATTGGTGTCTTTTAGTTGTGTCCATCCCTTCTGATATGTTACAATAATATTTGACCCTAAAATTTGAGTGATGTAGCTTAGCTTAATCAGATGGTGGGGCTTTGCTAGCTGATAATGTTAGCTGCTAAATGTTTTTTTCCAGTACATTTTAAAAAGTTGTATAAAATTGCGTTTCTACTTTATCAGATACTCATATTTGGTCACTCTTATGACCTCTTAAAACACTGTCCTCCACTAGGGATAAAAATGATTATTATTTTTTTTTAATTTTAGTAAATAAATGCTTTCCTTTAATACTTGCAATTTTTGCACCTCCTGCATTCATTTTCCTCAATGAGACAAATACTTTAATTGTTATGAGCTGTCAAGAATGAGTGCCTCATGAGAGGTGAATGTTGCTTGGAGAAGTTGAGCTATGAAACAAGTATGGTACAGAACTCATAATCTGAATTTACCACGCCATGTTTACAGATGTGCATCAGATTTGTTTTAAGTCCTCATTTGAATGAAAGATAATCAGACATTAAAATAATTTCTGTACATACAGTTAGATTCTTCTGTCCCTATATAGCTTCTTTATGCTAAAAACAGTAAGTCTCAAAAATAATTCACATTTTTTTACAATAACTTCTCAGCATTTTCTGCAACTAAAAAAGAGCTATTGAGTATCCATGTTTGATTATCTATAAAACTGAAAAACGATTCCATGCCTTATTTTGGATACCTTGGCACAATAATCTTCAATAAGGATATGAAAGTAGAGTTATTGTCCTGTATAAAAAAGTAGTTACAGCAAGCACAACAAACCAAAATTCTGAGTAATTGCATCCTATCAGCACCATCCTCAACAAAGTGTTCCTTTAAAGACAAAATCATTAGGAGCTAAAAGGCCTCAGCACTTTTGCTGCTCAGGTTTATAGTGAATGTCTGATTAAGAGCCCTGATATCTTCAAAGTTTATTATCTTTGTTGTCCATTTTTATGGCCTTTGTTCACTGCGCTTGCAAATCATCCTCCGTTGTCCTGACAAGCTCATTAAGCAAAAAAGAGCATATAAGGAAGAGCCTCTGGTCATTTAGTTTTGTGTTTCCTGTAGTAATGAGGCTGCATTGTAGAGTTTATCTTTCCATTGTTTGTTTTTTGGTAGTACATATTACATTGCTTGGTTGTAGTGTAATGCCCAGGTCAGCCACTGTAAATTAAACATACAGAACTTTGTATGGCGCTTGATGGAATGGGAATAAATAAATGATTAATCTTTTGCCTAATTCTTATCAATATTCCCCTGATTCAAATCTTGTTTCCAATTGCACAGACAACCATCTTGAAAACAATGAAAAGAATCTTAATAATAGGAATGACTTGTGGCCAGCAAAAAGCTGCTCAATGAATGCTTCCCTCCTTATTCCTCATTGGTAATCAGTGATGCCTTGTCAAAATAAACAGAACTACTAAAATCAATACAACACCATTAAGAAAGGGGTGAAAAGGATTGTAGCAAACTAGGCACCACTAGTAGGTGTGAGACTGGAGGTGATGCTGTGTAAGCATTAAATAAATTATGGTTCTTACATCCTGGTGTGGAGCACAGTAAAGTAAGACACATTTTTGAGAATATTTTGAATAGGAAATGAAATGAATTTTGACATTAGAACATGTATGCAGAAATAGAAACTTTGAATTTCCTACAAATGTATCCCAACAAAGACCTGATTCTCTATTGCAGGTTACAAGCTTTTAGAGATTTTTTTAATGATTGCACATTAGAAAGCAACTTAGAGCTTTGATCCCAAAAATGCACATATTTGCAGTCAATGTTAATTGAAAGAAAAAGAACAGAAAGTGAAAAGGCAAGCAAAAATACATCAGTAACAATTTCAGTCGCTGTAACCACTGAGCAAGTAGGGGCCTTCTCTGTGAAGCAGCATTTGTCATTCCCCAAGCAGATTTGAAGTACACCTTCAAGTGTTTTGTGCAAAATTAAAGCACTACACAGTAATGGCAAGGGACTGCACTGATAGCATAGACATGGAAGATTTCTGCAGCAGAAAATTTGCCATAGCAAGCTGTTTTCTTTCACTTGCCTTTACTTCGATTGGACATCCTTTTGCCTATTCAACAGAAATGACCAATGCTGATTAAAAAGCAATAAAATATATACCTCCTCTTCAGGCTCTCTCATTTCTCAGAATTATATCCAGCGTTGCCCTGCAACAGGCAGAAGTTGCATTTGGACCGTGCATGGTTGGGCCATGCCTTCGGATTGCTATATGTGATAGGACTTGTGAAGTTCAACAGGATTTCTTCGTTTATTTTACCACGTCTGTTTTCTTCTCTGATGTTAACTGCAAGAAATTTTATTTTTATGATAAAAACTGTAATTCTCATGAATAACGTCCTCCGAGAAAGGACACCTGAGACCTTTCTTACAGCTTCTGTACTTAGAAGTGTAAAGTGTAAGGAGAGATCAGGCAGAGAATTTAAATGACACCACTTGCATAGTCTAAAATTGTTAATCTCATCAGTAAGGCTAATTAAAAGCCTCTGTCTTCACTGAGTGGCTATTCATACTCTGTCTTATTCCAAAAATGCTGTGGCTATGGGGATTAGTGAGTGACTTCATTATCAGATATCTGCCATCAAATAACTGAGCGAGATGTCCAAACTTCAGTGAATCACTGTTTATATTTTCCCAGCTGGAGCAGGCATTCCTCAGCTTTCAGAAAAGCAGGGAGGGAAGTAAACCACACTTCCAAATCCCATTTACTTTCTCCTTTCCCACAGGAGAGAATCACTTTGTTGAGAGAAAAGTTGGTTAGAAGTTAATTGCTATTTAATTACTCCACATGTGTATGTTTGCAGCTGAAGGAAATGACAGCCTCAGTTACTATCTTCAAGCTTAAGAAAAGGTCCAGTGAGCTTTCAAAAGAAGTCTGTAAAATTGGAGTGTGCTGTTGGCACATGCAGCCAAGTAGTCTTGCCCTACAAATGTGATAGGGCAATATATTCTGGGGAATGGTGTTGTTCCTCTCATTGAAACTAAGATTCACGAGACCAAACTGGATATTTTCATCAACCGACAAAACAAATGAAACTATTACTAGTTTTTAAAATCATTTCTATGATGGTGACGTGCGGGATACGGTCTTCTTTTTTCCAGGTGATATTGTAATACAAAAGAAATAAGCAGACCCTCACCAAAAGAATCTGAAATCTGAAATATTCTCTTTAGGTGGCAAATTTTCAGGCATGCCTCTGAAAATCTGATCTGTTCTATAGTAATAGTCTGCCTTGAAGATATTATAGCTACTAGGTGGATAAAAACTGCCTTTTAGCTATTTTTATTACTAAAATCAGTTGGCTTGATTTTATAGGACTGAATGCAACTAGGTTCTACAGAAGGTTCTGTAATAAAGTTTAAATATTGATCTGAGTTGAAAAATAGTTGTGTTGGTGTAGGACTGTAGTTTACATCTGTACCGAAATGGTGTAAAAAAGCATGTAACAAAGTTATGCTGCAACCAGCATTCTCTGAGGAGGGAAGGGGTAAAAAAGGACTGTAGCACACTACTATCTTTATGTGATATATAAAATTGAGAATGAGGTGCTGTTTTTTTTTTTTCGTTGTTGTTATTGTTATTGTTTACTTTGTAAAATGTTTTAAATTCTTGTGTGAAAAGGCCTATCTAAATGCTTAGTACTGTCTTGTTCCCCTTTCATCCACCAGCTCCTTGTTTGACCAAGGACTAATAATTACTTAGCTGTATGTATGGCTGAATTTGCTCATTACTTTATTCACAATGAGCATTTTGTCAGAGGTGTCTCTAAGTTCCATTTCTTTTTGAATCTGACAACAAAAAGCTGTATTTTAGTAACTATAAAGTTTCTGAAACAACACTGGCATTTTAGCTCAAACAAGACCATTTTTATAACTTCTTCTATAAAAAAGACTGAGCCTTGCATGTATTTTACATGTATATTTTCTGCTTCATATATAAAGATATAGATAGATAGATAGATATTAGGAGGAAGTTTTTCACAGAGAGGTGGTGACACACTGGAACAGGTTGCCCAAGGAGGCTGTGGATGCCCCATCCCTGGAGGCATTCAAGGCCAGGCTGGATGTGGCTCTGGGCAGCCTGGTCTGCTGGTTGGTGACCCTGCACATAGCAGGGGGTTGGAACTCAATGATCACTGTGGTCCTTTTTAACCCAGGCCATTCTGTGATTGTATGAAGTAGTGAAATCTGCTGCTAGACTTTTGGAAATGTAAGAGGAACTGATTGCAATACAACCAGTTTGAGTGAAAACAGTGCTCTCAAAGCTCCAAAGCCTGTGGACTTCAGATATTAATATGTAAAACTGAGAAAATGTAACCTTGGATTCAGTTGAATAATAATTTGGCCTGGCCTGGAGAGAATCCTTAGGGCATGTGGCAAGGGTAACACTTTGTATTTACAATGCCTTTCTGCTGAGATAGCTCTCAGTGGTGCATTTTACAGGTGGGGAAATGGAAATACAGTGAAAAAATAATGCTGCAAAGCATTGAGACAACAACGGCCATCTTTATTGTGAATGATGGTAACTTAGAATTAAGCATTTGCTGATGTTATGCTGGTCTGGGGCTGAATTGCTTTTCCGAGATCATAGAGCAAGCAGTTAGAATTAAAGCTGTTGAGATTGCTGACACTCCCCACCCTGTTCTTTTTCTAGATCTTTTCCTGCTTATAACAGCAGAGATGAGAAAATGCAATCATTAGGAAAGAATAAACCTGACCAGCAGGTGGATCATGTTTTTCTCTTCTAGAATATTTCCATTGCTACTAATGTTAAGCAATAAAGAGACATTGATGGCCATGGAAGAGACTATATTATAAGAAAAATGCAGGTAAGAAAATTATATGCACAGTTTAAAGCTAATTGTGAATTGAAGAAAGTCCATCGACCTTCCTGAGAAGATGAAAGTTATATAAGAAAAGTGACATTATATAAAGAATGTGTTTATTATGCTCTTCTATGTGCTTAGTAATGATAATTAATGCTTTGTGTCTGCAGTTATACGAAATAAATACATGCATTTGCCATATAATTCCTGCAGACCAATCATTTTGTTACAAAATGTATATACAGTTCAACAGAACCTAAGTAACATTTTTCTGTCTTTGTAAAGAAGCTGTAAATTGTTCAGTGCCCTGTGTTTGCACTGCTAACAATATTACTAATATCAAATTGCCTTAGAGTCCGGCTTTGGAAGGGACCAAATGGTTCCTGGAGGTGATTTTTTTTTTTTTTTTTTTTGACAGGATTAAAGAATGTAAAGGGCTATTTGTACTAAACAGATTAAGCTGCTAGTAAACATGTCCCCTTTAAATTAAGTGGTGGTGAAGACAAAGGAAGTGCTTTGTTGTTGTCAGCTGGATTTGTCTTAAGTCAAATGGGCAAACAACTTAAACATCAGTCCTCTTTAAAATCCCTAATGGCTGTGCAGATTACATCTGAAAAGGTCTGTAAAATGAGTCAAAAATTAAATTGCTTTACTGGTTTTCCGTTTACTCTTTGACTAAAGCATTTCTCTTCTTCCTTTTCTTTTTTTTCTACTCTTTTTTTCCCTCTGATCCAGCTTTACAGAACTTTGTTTTCAACCTGCATTAGCATACAAATATTAAACAAGAATTTCACTTCTCTCCAGTCTTGTCACTTGTGATGAATACATCCTTGCTTGGTAAGTGCTGGTGACACATCATTGTGGCAGCTTCTGCCTCTCAACAGAAGGATAATTAATCTTGCTATCAGCACTCTTGAACAGAGGTAGCTAGTTCAAAGTTTTACTCCATAGAGCTGCTTTGTGTGGGGTGGGATTCCTTCATCTGAAATAGCTGCCTATGAATTGTGGCCTTCCTGTGATTAGCTTTTCTTTAATGCTGTTGATCTTTGCAGGAACAGTAAAACAAACAGAAGTTGTGTTTTTCTGACCTGGCACTAATAAAATGTGTGGGTGCAGCATGCATTTCAGAATCACAGACTGCTGCCATCAGCCATCACCATGATGCCCACTCACACAACCCACTGAAATATGTCCCTCAGTGCCACAGGTAGAGGATACCAAGAGCCCACATAGCCTTGTATCAGTGTGGAATGAATTCAAGATAATGCACTGTGAGTTCACCTTCCATCCTACTGTCTACAGTAGGAATTCATATGGTTTGGTTTCTGTCAGGAAGAGATCCTGGATGAACATGTCTAGGAGTGTGAAAACTTGCTGGCTCTCAGCTTCAGAAGTATTGGAAACTGGACAAAACTATAATTGAGCATTCACAACTTCCATGAATTTCAGTGCTCTTGCAGCTTTGTGATGATGGAAATCAACTGAGTGTTTGCTCCAATTGGATTTTCATTCAGTTTATTAATGATAAAAAAAATGTAACTTCATGCATATTAAAGGACTGTTGATTGAAGGTCACAGGGGTGTTAGCTGTGGTGTCCTGGCTAAATTCCAGTTGGCTAATTACAATCTGCCTTCCTAAAACTCCCTTGTAGTTTCATTATTTAGTTCATTATCTCTTTATTACTTTGTTCCAAACTCTTAGCAGCACTGTTTTATTTCTGTTGAAGAACTTTTACTGTTGAACATGTTGGTTCATCAGAATGCAAATGATGAAGTCAACTTTCTGCCTCTCTCAATAGAGTGTCAATTGTGTAAGTAAGGAATGTGAGAATCAATACATCTATGTGTGGTAAAAAAGCAACTGTTTTATAATGTCATATTGCAATATGTGATTGTGACTGTTATGTGCTGTGTTAAAATCTGATGGCACTCATATGGGAATGTGTACCTTTTTGCTCTTTTATTCCAGTTATCTATGTCATTTGATATAATTTCTTCTTTTTTCCCCAAGCTAGTTCATTTTTGAAATGTGTGCTCTCTTCTTGGCTGGTGCTTTCTGTTCTTCTGGTGGGCATTCTTATTCTTCCAGATTCTTTTGAACAAAGCAGGTTGAATGGGTGGTCTTATGAGTGGTACAAGCTGTTTTTCTCACCTCTGTGCCTTTTTCCAAAGGCTACCTATTGTCCCAAGATCATGTTCTGAAAAACATAAGAATATATTCTCTTTGGTGGTGCAGAATAACACTGCCCTCCACTGCAGCCAGAAATATGGTGAGACTCCTCAGAAAGGTGGGTTATGTACTTGGTTATAACTCAGACAATCATGTTGCAGCTAGCAGAGTTGATTAATATAGTTAGTTGGTGTTTTGCATCCACAATAATTTTCACTTCTAATAGGGCCACACATCAACAGTGTTGCCTAGTAGTAATAGTTGGGTGAAAATAACATGAAACTATCATAATGTTTGCATTTTGAGTCATATTTGGAAAGAATGAGCCAAATCTGCAGTTGCTAGAATGAATATCATGCCACTACAATTAAGGAAGGACTGATTAATCCTGGTAAAGAACTTGGTTAAAGACTGAGATCAAACTTGTCTGTGGTCTGCACTGACTTTGCTGTTACTCCATGGTCCTGATTTTTGGTTGCTTCAGCATGGCTCATGGTTCACCATGAGCATTGATGGCAAAGTGAAGGAGCCATGCGGAAATGGGTTCTAATGCAGTTGAAATGATTTGCTCCAGAGATTAGGTCCAAGCTCTTAATTGAAAAAGGGCAGGAAAATGATGTATCAATTATTCAAGATGTTTTCTTTGTACAAAACGTTGAGGTTTTCTGTAAGTTTGTGTGTCTCAATATACTGTTCTTGTTAAACTATTAAATGTAATTAGAAACCAAAGGTAAATGATGTCTCAGTAATTCAGGAAAGCCACGGAGGCACAGAATGGTGTCTGTAGTGTTCTGAGTACTGTCAGCTCCCAGCGAAGCCCATCTAAGGATGATTAGCTCTTTACTCTCACTTCAGATTGATTCCAGCAAATGATGATTTACTGTTTTGCTAAATGTGAGGCAGCATTTGTTTGACGAACTGCAAAGAGAGAAGCAGGTAAAGATTCACTACAAAGAGGCTGTCAAAATACTTCTAAAATATGCTGTCATAACCTTTAACAATTTATTAATAAGCCTATTAATATCCAAGGGTTTTTTTTTTTCTTTTTGTCTTGAGGTTCTGTTAAGAACATCAGTGTTTAAAATGCTATCCACACAGGCTTAATGCCAGGGAAAGCAATCCCATTAAATTGGACCTCATAAATGTTTCATGAGGTCCAATTTAAAATTAATCTTGGCGTGAAGCCAAACCAGGCAGTATATTTGCTACTGTATTAAAAAAAAGCAGCAGATGAGGTATTTTTTCACAATAGTAATCTGACTGGATTTTTGCACAATACTGACGATATTTTTAATAATACAGCTGTTAGTTTTGGCAGGAAGAGAATGTATTTCATCACCTGTTTATGTAAGAATCATACTGCAACTAGCCTATTTGAAATGGCATCATTCAAGAAGATGGGTTTGTTTTTTTTTTTAGTGATGAAATCTCTGTTTTCTGATTTATTTTTTTTTCACCTTGTTAATTGGAAGAAAATGGACAGATCTATAACTTATCTGTGAGAATGTAGATTGTTTTGGGAAAGGGCTATGAAGCTTTCAATTTTCAAAAGGGATTCAGGCAGGTAAGAGGTTTTCAATGTAATTTAAGTCTGAAGTACCTTAGTCAACCGGGAACTAAAATTTAGGTTTTTAAGTCATTTTGACAGGATTCTGAAATTTACTTCTGGTCACAGAGCTGGTGGGCAAATAAGAAGTGTAATCCGACAGCAATTGAGAGTTAGTAAAAACATATCCCTATAGCTATGATCAAAATCTTATCTGAAAGCTTTTGTGTGCATTTCAGAGACAATGTGTACTGATTTAATGCCTCTTTGAGTCAATTGGGGTTTAATTGGTGGATACAGAATCAGAAGGCATAGGCAGAGAAAGGGCAACTCATTTACTTTGCTCATTTAGGAGATCAGATGGTTCTGGAGACTGCCTGATGGGAAAAGTATTCAGGCTGCGAAAAAATCACTGAAATACAGGAAAAGTCTCCTTTTTGATGCAATAAGCATCAAATGAGGTCCCTAAATAACTGCTCATTTTTTGGACAAGAATATTAGGAGATTCTCTTTTCTGTCTTTCACATATTGCTTGTTCTCCTAATCTGTGACCAAATTTCGGTCTCAAGAATTTCCCTAATACATCTGAAAAACACTTAAGACCGTGTGTGTGAGCAAAGGGAATAAATAGTAAATATAATAACAATATAGGAGCTTGAGTAACAGTTTTTGCTGTATGGCTTTAAAACTGGTTTAAGTATAAACGATTGTATGATTCTCTGAAGTAGAGAGCCCTTTATGCTGAATAATTTCTGGGAGACACTGGTAAGGAACAAGATTACAGGGTGTTTAGAGATGTGCGTTTCAATAAGGAGCAATCACCATTCATATGCATACGTTTCATTTAAATGCATTATATACACTAGCAGATTGGGAGGCAATCCTGAGACATTGAACATAATTTATTTGGATTTGAAGAAAGCCTTTCCTTTTGTGCCTTACAATGGATTTGATTTACTAAGTCAGGAGATGTAGTGGAAGCAAATTCAAATGGACTTGCATTTGGCTGAGCAATAATATCACTGTGGAAATTGACAAAGGTAACATGCAGGAAGTGATGTGAGGTTTGGCTCACTTTGAGCAGTTGCCTGAAATTGCTGTTTAGAAGTAACAGAGTGATTGAAGGGGTTTTTCAGAGAGTAATTTGTGTCTCCTGTGTTAGAAATGAGTTGTGTTATCCTGTGATGATACTGCTCTACCCCATAGGTTATAGATGGAACCGAGAGACCTAGTTTGGACTAAATGCCTCATCTGAAAATTTCCCATGTGTATTTTATTAGCAAACTGTCTATTTTATCAGTTACAACTAGTGAGAGACCTAATGGCCAACTGAATTCTTCTTGACTCTTCTCTAGAAGACTCTTGGCTGGGTCCCTCTGGCCTTATTGGAGGAAGGGAAGTAGTTAAAATGCCCTTTGTCAGGAATGGTTACCTTCACAAAACATTGCATTCACTGTCAGTACTGGATTAGTTATGAAGGGAAGGTATGTAAAATGTTTCATTTACATGCAGTAGTCTCAAAGATCTACATTTAAGAGTCACTGAGATGTGTTGAGCATATTGCGCAGCTTGGTGTCATCTGCAAACTTGATGAGGGTGCACTTGATCTGCTGCACTGTTGTGTCACAGGTGGAGATATTAAAGAGCACCCCTGAGGGGCACCACTTCTCACTGACCTCCATTCAGACGTTGGCCACTGCTCTCTGTGTATGATCTTGCAACCAGTTCCTCATTCACTGAAGAGCCCACCCATCAAATCTATATATTTCTGGTTAAGAGGGAAGGATGTTGTGGGGGAACCTTGTCAAAGACCTTACTGAAATAAAGATAGATGACATCAATGGCTCTTCCCTTGCCCTTGATACAGTTTCATCATCATAGAAGGCCACTAGGTTGGACAGGCAGGACCTGCCCTTGGTGAAGCCATGCTCTTTGTCTTGCATCACCTTCCTCACTTCTATGTGCCTTAGCATAGCTTCCAGGAGAATCTCTTTTGTGATTTTCCCCAGCACAGAGATCAGGGTGAGAGGTCAGTATACTGTTTCCTGGGTTGTCCTTTCTACCCCTTTTAAACGGATAAAGATAGACCTGCTGCAGATAATCAACTGCTTTCACCTGCTTTTTCTTGCTCCTTTCTTGTTTGTATTCTCTCAATCCTTGGGCTGTAAGTTAAGAGCTTCCTCAGTTACACTAAAGGCTGATGAGCTTGCAGTGACTGAGTGAAGGACTGTTTTGTTAAAGAAAGGATATTAAACTGCGTCAAAAAGAAAACATAGCTGGATATATAAAAAAGAAAATAAATGAAATAATATCATAGCATAACTTAGTGTTAATAGAAAACAAATAGAAAACAAATCTGTTGTAATCTGAAAGCTTACCTGCTTGAAACAACAGAGGGATAGATAGGATGGAGTCTACTAGTTAAAAATGAGATGAAGGTAGTTCACCAAATTGACTGTATATCGGACAAGGTATTTCCAGTAGCAATAAATGCTGTTAATGCCATCACAAAAAGCACTGTTGAAACCTAATGTTGTTTAGCTTAGCAAACCCAGTATGGTAAGTGACTATGATTTCTCTCTGAAAACCTATCAAGGGAGGAAAACACCAGAGCTATTTAAGCTAGAGAATAATG